TTGCAACTTCCACCGAAAGCCAAGAGCAACGTTGTGACAGCGCAGTACCAGCAAAGAGTACCCACTGCCTTGTACACCTGCAGCCAGTGCAGCAGCAGCAGCAGTGGTGGGGGCGGCAGCAGCAACCCAAGTGCCGGTGGTGTGGGCAGCATCCCTAGTGCCAATGCTAGTAGCGGCACTTCCAGTATTGGTGGCATGAGACCTGATCTGAGCACGGGGAGTGCCTCCCAGCACAGCTCCGTCATGGCTCACTCTGTCAGTACTTCGCCTCTGGCCTCTCAGTCATCCTACAGCTTGCTGAGCCCGCCTGACAATTCCCGTGACCGAGCGGATTATATCAACTCCGCCTTCACGGAGGATGAGGCCCTTTCTCAGCACTGCCCTGTGGAGAAATCAATACGGCACGTGCCCGTGTCCCTGGCGGAGGCTGCCCTCGGTGTAAAACGGCCACCGCCATACCAGTGGGACCCTATGGTGAGTGAAGAGATATGGGTGCCTCAGGAAAGGACATCTCAGAGCTCAGTGCCCAACCCTCTAAAACCTACTCCTCTCATCATTGGTCAAGCTCAACATCTGGATATGTCTCGAGTACCGTTTGTTTCCCCCAAATCTCCAACCAGTCCCACTGCCACTTTCCAGACGAGTTATGGGGTTGGAGTACCCTACCCAGGAAGCTACAGTGCCCCTCCCCTTCAGGGAATGCAGCCTCCATGCTCCCCCAAAGAAGCTCTGGCCCCGACACAGTTTGCACAGCAGGAGCCCACAGTTGTGCTTCAGCCAGGTTATCCGTCCAACCTCTCCTATTGCTCTTTGCCACCCATGTACCCGGGAAGTAGCGCCTGCTCTAGTTTACAGCTGCCACCAATCGCCTTGCACCCGTGGAGTTCCTACAGCGCCTGCCCACCCGTACAGAACCCCCAGGGCACCTTGACCCCCAAACCGCTCCTTGTGGTGGAGAAACCGGTGATGTCTCCCCCGCCAGCGGAGCTGCAGGGCCACGTGGGCACAGAGGTGATGGTGGAGACAGCAGACACCTTCCAGGAAGTGCTCTCCTTGACAGAAAGCCCCGTTCCTCAAAGGACAGATAAATTTGGCAAGAAGAGCCGGAAGCGCTTGGACAGTCGAGCTGAGGAAGGAAGCGTGCAGGCGATCACTGAGGGCAAGGTCAAAAAGGAGGCAAGGACGCTGACTGACTTCAATTCACTAATATCCAGCCCTCGGCTGGGGAGGGAGAAGAAGAAGGTCAAGAGCCAGAAAGACCAGCTGAAGTCCAAGAAGCTAAACAAGACAAACGAGTTTCAGGACAGTTCGGAGAGTGAGCCAGAGCTTTTTATTAGTGGGGATGAACTGATGAACCAGAGCCAGGGCAGCAAAAAAGGTTGGAAAACCAAAAGGAGTTTGAGGACAGCCAGTGAACTGGATGAATTCAAGTGCCGGAAGGCCAGCGAGAAGGAGGACGGAAGGCTGGGGAGCCAGGGCTTTGTGTATGTGATGGCCAACAAGCAGCCGCTGTGGAATGAGGCGACACAAGTCTACCAGCTGGACTTCGGAGGGCGGGTGACCCAGGAGTCAGCAAAAAACTTCCAGATTGAGCTGGAAGGACGACAGGTAGGAGGGGTGGTACACGTGGGCTGGGGTGGGGACCGGGCAGGGGAAACCCATGCCAGGAACGAGCTCTGCTTCTCATGCAGCCAAGTGCCTCCCACTTGTGTGAGCTGCTCCATGAAAAACAGCTTTGTTGTGTGGTTGATAAAAAGCAACCATCAAAGGTCTAGATTCAGAATGGAAGGTGAAGTTAAGTTGTAAAGTAAATGTACAAAATATGTTTGGTCTTACTGCGGTCGGACCTGGGAATAAGGACCTCCACTGGTCCCACTGGCTCTTGCTGCTGGAATTAGGTGGGGTTTGTGATAAACAAAACAGATCTCCCCAAAGGTAGCTGCATTTGCTGTCGGTGGTTGTGGATGGCAGCTAGCTGAGTGAACGCTGCAATGCTCACTGAAGTTAGCCAGTCAGCAGATAGCTAAGGCAGAGGAAATGGATGAGCAGTTAGGTTCCCTCCATGCCAAAATTTACCCTGCGGGTTATCAGGTCTCTAGGGCTGGTACTTAATGCTAGACCCTTCCCAGAACAAAGCAGTCCTGAGCTGCTTCTGAACCACCAACGGGTAGATGGGTCTGTGGATAGTGCAAAAAACCCCACATTTAATTTTAGGCTCTCACTTTGGCCCAAGTGGGATGTTACTACACTAAACCCAGGCTAGTTAGTGGTACTAATCATCAGGACACTGGACTGAGACTTAGGAGACACGTATTTATTTCCTTGTCCAGCTCTCCCATTACTGTAAGTCACTTTTGATTTATTAAAGGACATCAAGGGTCTCAGCTCCCTCTGATTTAAATGGAGAGTTAGATGTTCCAAATATCCAACATGCATGACCAGTGTTGGTCTCTTGATTTTGTTTGTCTGTAACAACAGCTCATTAAAAAGGCAGTCATCAGAGCCATTTATATCCCTTTCTTCTTTGGTTAAATGGCTGTGGATACATGCCCGTGGACAGCTGTGCTAAATCACCCTGCAGCAGGTTTTGTTGGTGGGGGAGCAACGCCTGACTGAGCTTGCACAGACAACCTCCGTTCTAGCTCAAGGATCTTCACTAAAGAGCAAATACAATCTGAGCTTCTCATGAAGCAAATGAAAAAGCAATAATAATAGGCCAAACTATTGGAACAACAAGGAACTACCTGACTAGCCTTGCTTTATATTTCAGACAGCTCCCATGGCCCCTCATTCTTGGTGTAATTATGTGCTCGTGAAGCTTATGCAAAGGAAAACAGAACTGCCAAGAACATGCAGCTTACCAGCTATGAAGTGCTAGAGTCAGGAGATGGGTTATTCCCCTTCCCTGAAAACTTCTTTCTTGAAAACAAAATGTGTTTCCCTGATGGACTGATGATTGGATCTCTCTGAGAGAGAGAATGGTATTTTCCTGCATGAAACATGTTGCTGGTATAACTCACATCTGCTGAAGTAGTTGATGACAATCTACTTACACCAATGCTGTATACAGTATAGTATGTTTTAAAGCTCAGTTTACTCTATAAAGTCCAATATTGCTGTCAAACACTCTATACAGACTAATAGGGACTCTTTATTAGGGACTGTAGTGGTAGGACAGGGGGTAATGGCTTCAAGCTTAAACAGGGGAAGTTTAGATTAGATACAGGGAAGAAGTTCTTTACAGTGAGAGTGGTGAGGCACTGGAATAGGTTGCCCAAGGAAGTTGTGAATGCTCCAACCCTGGAGGTGTTCAAGGCCAGGCTGGACAGTGCCTTGGATGACAGAGTTTAGTGTGTGGTGTCCCTGCTCATGGCAGGGGGGTTGGAACTAGATGATCTTATGTTCCTTTCCAACCCTAACTATTCTATGATAGTACAGTGTTCTTACTCTTCCTTGGCTTCATACCCCATTCTGTGCGTAGCCCCATTCATATTAGCTTGGGAGGTGAGGTGTTCATGCAAAGGAGCAAAACCATTTTGCTTTTTTTCTTCTCTGGTTCCTTTTCTGTGGATCACTTTTTTTGACCTTGTTCTCTTTTTCCTTCCCTTGTCCTCTTCCCCTGCTTCCCAGGTGATGCAGTTTGGAAGGATTGATGGCAATGCTTATATTTTGGACTTTCAGTATCCATTTTCTGCAGTGCAAGCCTTTGCTGTTGCTCTGGCTAATGTGACTCAACGCCTCAAATGAACAAGCAGAGACTGGAGAGAGGAAAATGTTAACCTTCTCAGAAAGTCCAAACCGGAAAATGTCAGGGCAGCCTGCTTTAGGTATGCAGAGGTGCCTGGGAGCGAAGAAGGCAGTAAAACTGGAAAAGTCTCTTGGTGCCCAACAGAAGGGCATTAACTCTAATCAGTCATGGGGTGGAGGGTGGGGGGCTGTTTTCTGTTTCGTTTGTTTGTTCGTTTGTTTGTTTTCAGGTGTTTGGTTTTTTTCCTTTGAAGCATTGTGCTGGGTCTCAGAAAGAGCGAAGGGTTGAGAGCCATTCAGTGTTACTTGGAGAAGTGTGGCATTTGGCTTGTTGTGGTGGTTCTGCCGTGTTTGCTACAGTAGCTCATGTAAGCTCATAGGGGGATTAAAAAAGACTGCTCTTTTTGATAGACTGCCTTATATCATGTTGTTCTTTTTAAAACAGGGAACATGACTTTTTTTCTGGTCCAGTTTGTACTACTACTACTACATCAGTGATAGCAGCAAAAAAAAAAAAAAAAGAAAAAAAAAAGCTATAATACTTGAAGACACGTGTTTCTTCTTTGATATCTGATAATAACTGAGCACCACAGGTTCCAAGGAGGCGTATGTAGGTCAATGTTTAATTTATAAATAATGATGCATTATTCAGAAGAGAAACAATTGTTACCAATGGGTGATTTAAAACTCCACTGTATCAAAGAAGTTGATGTCTGCTTGTTTTGTGTGCTGTTATTGGGGATAAACATCTTTCAGTAGGTGACAGAAGATAGAGGAGTAATTATGAGCATTGGTTCTTTTGTTACTGGGGGATAAACATCCTTCAGCAGGTAACAGAAAAGAGGGGAGGAAGTAACCATGAGCGCCGCTTCTTTGCTCATACTGGTCAGCAGTATTCTCTGATTTGGTAGCTGGGAGAGGTACAGTGTGAGCAGGTGTACATCTGAGGCCACACCTGTACATGCTCCTCATTTAAATGTGTTTACACTTCATAAACAAAGCAGATGAGAAGGCCCTGTCTATTCAGTCTTCTTACCAATCAGTATGAATCAAGTTCTAAAACAGTGTAGAGGAAGGAGACAGAAGTGTAGCAAGTCATTACAAGCAGCAATTTCATCAGGAAAGCAGTTTCAGTACAAAAAACATCATGTCTGGCTGGAGAACAAATAAGTTGAAAAAGGAAGGAAAAATTGGACAGAATCATCCCTCTTATCACCTTGCTACTTGAGTAGTCTTTGTGGCTGTGGGTTGAGAATGTAAGGCTCCAGCTAAGAGCAGGAAGCCAAAGTTTATATGGAGGAAGGGTTAATAACAGTAGCATGACTCCACAGTGCTTTCTGGTGGACATGCAGACCTGTTGTGCATTTCAGAAGGGTTGCTTGCATAGAAGAGTTTCTGTGTTGTCAGTGTGTTGTGCACAATCTTATTTGCTTTCTCTTTCCTCCTTGCCTGCATTCTGATATGGAAGTAGTTTGCCCAGTAACACACAAACCCCAAAACTATTAATGTTATTATTTGGACATTAGATTACAAAAGGTAACTGCAGATTTCCTTCAGAAATTACTCTTTTGAAGTGAAAGGCACACTGGGAAAGGTATGTTGGCTGAGGTGTCAGTGGCTGCTTTGTCTTTCATCCGCGGTTTAACTTCTCACTTGAAAAACTTGTTATAACTTCAGAAGAATAGGTGTGCTTTTCTCTACTTGAATCCTAATGGTAGGGCATATGTGTGTTCCATTTGATTAGTGCTGGAGGAACATATCACATAACATACTGCATAAGACCCTGCTGTAGCAGAGATTATCAGCATGCAGTGAGTGTACACCTTTTGCTCTGCTGAGGCTTCTAGGACTGTATAGCACACAAGGAGTAATACCAGTCAGGAAGGCATTTCAGAGAGTTGCCAAGGGAGATGATCCACAGGTGATGTCCAGCTGGGTAAGTCCAGGAAAAACAACCTGCAAGATGGTTTCCTTAGAGAGAGGAAGCAGAGATAGGAAGGAAGGAAGGAGGGGAGAAGTAGATGGTATCATGACTGTGTTATCCCAAAGCTCAGCAGCTTCTGCTTGCAAGTAGGAGTGGTCAGGCACAACATTCCCCTTGCACCTATCTGATTGTTGTTTGCTTTAGTTAATTAAGATTATTCCATCAGTTGTCTAGGCCCATTTCTTTTCTTTCTCACATGCATGATTTATTCAGCAGTTTGAGTGCCTGTGTGTATAATGTGTGTGGAACAGAGGAACCAAAATGGGTTTGGTTCCAGTCCCTTTAAAATCAGTGGAAGTGTTTCTCCTGTATTTTTGTGGATGAAGCACTATTAAGCCCTTTGTATTGAGTTACACACTGTACAAACAGTAGGTTGAATTCTCAGTCCACCGAATCCAGTCAGTACACAAGGGGGAAAGTTGTCTGGTGAGAATCCTCATCTGCCCTAAGGTCTGTGCTAGCCAGTCATATCCTAACCCTGTAACAGGTAGGCACTGAACACCGTAAGAGAAGAAACATACCATGCCTGGCTTGCCTGGCTTTCTTGCTGAGGGAAGGGCCACTCAGTCACAGGTTAGAAATCTTCAGCTGAAAGAAACATCACCTGTAGTTTTAAGCCAAAATTATTAATACATGGAACCAACATGAATGGGTTTTTTTCTGAACAAAATCTAATCTAAATAGAAGGACTTCTGCATGTGGTTTCTTTAACCTTCCAGGGAACAGTACTCCTCTTCACCTGGTTCATTCCAAATTTTTCCAGTTATCAGCAGTTTTATGCTAATGAAGATCTGAGAAATGAAACCTGATACAAGTAGTAGAGTTAGTAATTTGGTTTCATTGGCCCAGGTCATGGTTGGGTCCTTCTGATGCACTTACAAGAAGCCTTGACATAGAAAGAGACTTCGTTTCTGTCCCAGCAAAGCACAAGGAATAATTATCAAAAACTTGGAAAATAAATGCAATTCCCAACATCCTTCCCATTGTCAGAAAAAGCTGTAGGATAAGCTTATATTATCTTTTTGAAAATAATTTAACAGAGTCCCGTTAATGGAGGATTTTAATGGTGTAGAGAATAGCCCATATTAGAGAGATATACACTGTCAAATAAATAGAATTTTAATGAAATGAATGGGAATTATGCAAATATCCGGGAGTGCAACTGGATCCTGAATTATACAAAGAACAAGTGAAAGTGACAGTTGTTTTATTTTTCATTGAGATATAATATAGGAAACAAATTTAAAAGCCTTTTCCAAAATAATCACTTAAATCCTGAAGATTGCTATTGCATTCAGCCAAAAGAGAGATGTTACATTTTCTGCTCTATTAGTAAATCCCTGGTTTTCTGTGGATAACTAAGTTCTTCTAGGAAGAATGTAGCAGTGTTCAGAAATGTCTAGTTCTTTTATACGTACAATAATTCCCAGTAGTTAAGTATGGTTTTTCCAAAGCCTTTTCTCAGTTGTGCAATAATTGTGACAGTCTAGAGGTTTTACATTTATTTTTGTTGTAGTTACTTTTTTTGGTTGGTTGGTTGGTTGGTTTAGGTTTTGGGGTTTTTTAGGCATTTTTGAGTGGGTTTTTTAAGATAATTTAATGCAGATTTCCTGTTAATGTCCAAAAGACAAATTATTTATCTTGCGCAATGTAATAAGTGATTTTGGGATTATTTTATTACTATGTATCAGTGAGTTATACACACTTTCTTATTTATATTTGAAAAGCATCTTTGTAAGTAATTGCTTGCTAGCAGGATGTTTTGCTGCAAGAAGTTAAAAATGCATATAGGAAGACCTGGTTTTGCTGGATAGTGTGCACAATTTCATAATGCAGGCAGGCAAAAAAATCTGTTGGCAGCTGAACACAGTGAGTTTGCTGTGGAGGACTGTGTAGATTACGAAGAGTGTAGATGACTTCTTTGGGACCTGCAGAAATTTGTCCTTCTGCACTGTTTTCCTCCTTTATTTCTAACTTAGTTCACTTGGGAGCTTCCAGCAAAGTCTAAAAATTGATAACTGAAGTCTGGTATGAAGTTCACCATACATGGAGTGGCAAATTTTAGCTTGAAACAGTGAGAATATCATGTTTCTGCAACATGGTAAGAAACTGTGAGAAGGAGGGGGGTGAAAGAAGAAAAAGATGAATTATTACATTAATAATTTTGCACTCAGTTCCGGAGGTAGCAGTGATATGTGCCATGGGCTGCCTGAGTATCAGTAAGTCTGCACAGTGCTTCATATCAGTTCAATAAACTTTCTGTGATGCAACCACAAGTAAAACAGTTCCATGTTTCTCTCTTCAGTTTTGTTCCATTGTTTTTATGAAGATGCATGGAAGTCTGCAGGCTTCAGACAAAGATCTTTGATGAGCCTTAAGCCTAGACTTTCTATAGGTCCAGGCTTTCCGTGATGTGTCTTTTTAATGTCCTCTCATGAATTCCAAACAGATTTTGGAGCTTGCCTGATCATTGCCTTAGACAGTTTCTGCGCATTTGCTTTTTGCAGCCTGATGTCTGTGATCCTGTGTTATCTTGGTGCCCTGTTACCTGTCAGAAACAGTTTAAATCCTCATATGAAGAACGCAGCACATGCAAAAACTGATTTGATTGAGAGAAAAGGGAGAGAAGACAGAGTAAGTTTTCACTGGCTTTTTTTTTAGCTTTTATGAATGTGTTTCCCAGAGCAACATGTTGGAAACTACACATTTCTGGAGAGCCCAAACCACTTCAGACCAGCAAATCTGACTTGGAGATAAGTAACACACGGGTCACTTGCATGGTATGCTGACAGAGGGCCAACTTCTAGCCTCACTACATGGTTACACCGACATACATAAGAGAGTAGAATCTGACCCAAAATATACTTTCCCATTAGTGTGTGATTATAAAGAACAACTTACATGACCCATATATCCACTTAAGAAAATTATAAAGCATTAACCAACAACACTTGACAGTTCTGATAATCCCCCTTGAAGAATGCTAGATTTTTGCTTTTTATTCCTGTTTCTAGGATTCCATCAAGGAAAGCAAGGTGTTTATGCTATTTAGAGATTGATAGATTTCCTGGCATAAGAGAGCAAATCTTCTTATACTGCTGACAAAAAGAGAAAAATTCTGGTAAATTAATTTTCCCATTTTCAAGTCCCTTCACCTTCAAGGCAAGCACAATCCTCCATCAGCAAATACCAGTTTAGAGTCCTGCTATCCTCAGGAGTAGTCTGCAGGTGGGCACCACAGGTCCTCTTTGCAGGACTGGAATTTACATGCACCATTCTTCAAGGAATAAGATTAATTACTACTTGTGAACCATGGGCTATAGGAATTACTTTACCTTTGTATTTATTTAATTTTCTTCTGAAAAAATCCTGCAGAGAAGTTCTAAGATTAAAAGGCTCAGCTTTGTATGTTGCCTGGTATCTCTGAAGATATATCAGGAGGTAATTTCTTTGGGCATTTTGATTGCTGCTGCATCTAGAAAATTAGATTTTTAAGACAAAAGCAATTAACTAAATAAAAGAACAAAGTAGGATTCAGTGAAGCAAGTCTTGCTAAGAAAATTAAAAACTTCATCCTTCAACTTTTGATTTTGCAAACTGATGTATAATGAGAAATTTGTGCTTCAAGGCAAATTGATTGTTGTGGAGAACTATGCCAGTGCTCAGGTTTGCTGATCCAGAGCTGACTGCAGGATCAAAACAACATGATTGTGTGAGACTTAAAACTAAGTGAATGAAAATACCAAATACTTATCTATCCAGAGCATTCAATGAAAAAATTAGATGGTATAACATTAAAGCCTGCCAGTTTATGCTTAATGCTTGCCCTCCAGTTTACATTGTTACAAATTTAAAGATAGGGTCTGATTCAGCAATTCGGAATCCTGAACAAATGCTGTCTGTATGTGGACTGGTTATCTTAGTGGCCAAGTAAATGGTTTAAATCATGAATTAAGATTAAAGGAATAATAAAAGAGAAACATTTTTGAACAGTGT